TATGTGGGGGAAGCCATTTGTAATCCATAAATCGTACTTTGGAAATTTATATTCATTAAATAAAAGTTAAAAAAAAATAATAAAGGGAAAAAAAAACTAATGAAAATGGAAGCCTAGAGCTGATGCATACAGCAAAAACAAGTGCTAAGAGGGAAGTTTACAGAAATAAGAACCTACATAAAAAACACAACTATCAATTAGCAACCTAACAATGCATCTTAGAGCAGAAATAAATGAAACAGAAACTTTAAAAAAAAAACAATGAAATGTCGATTTTTTTGGAAGAAACAAAATTGATAAACCTTTGGACTGGGAAAACAGCACAAAATCAGAGATGAAAGAGGAACTGTTACAACTAACACCACAAAGATACAAAAGAGCACTGAGCTGTTATAAATAGCTGTACACCACAAACTGGAAAACCTATAGGAAACAGATACATTTCTCAGCATCTAACATTTATAAAATTAGACCATGAAGACACAGAAAACCTGTGCAGACCACAAACGAGTACTAAAACCATCAGGAAAAAAAGTCTCCCAACAGAGAAAAGCTTACAGTCAGATGGCTTCACTGCTGAATTCTACCAAACTTGTAAGAAATAATAAACACTAATTCTCCATCTACTCCAAAAGAACCAAAAAGGAGGGAACCCTTCCAGACTTTTTCTACAACACCAGCGTCACCTTGATTCCAAAATTAGACACAGATGTGACAAAAAAGCTACAGCCCAGTACCCCTGGCGAACACAGATGCAAAAGTTCTCAAGGAAAGTATTGGCAATTCACATTCAGCATCACATCCAGACGCTCATTCGCAACGATCAAGCGGGATTTACCCCAGGAATACAGGGATGGTTCAAGATATGCAAAAATCGATAAACAGGACACATCACAGCAACAGAATGAAGCATAAAACTCATATCGTCTCAACAGATGTAGAGGGAACAATAGCATTCAACATGCATTCATGATAAAAAAAAACACGTAGCAACATGCAACATGATAAAGGCCATATATGACAAACCCACAGCCAACATCACACGGAATGGGGAATGGCTGAAAGCATTTCTACTAAGATCTGGAACCCGACAAGGGAGTCAACTCTTACTACTCCTATTCAATACAGTATTAGAAGTTTTAGCTCAAACGATTAGGCAAGAAAAAAAAATAAAGGCATACAAATTGGAAAGGAGGAAGTCAAACTGTCCCAGTTTGCAGGTGACATGATTCTCTTTCTCTGTCACTATGCCTTTCAAATAAAATAAATTTTTTTATTAAAAAGACAAATGGGGCCAGCATTGTAGCATAGCAGGTAAAGCCACTGCTTGCAGCATCATTCCATATGGGCACCAGTTTTTGTTCCAGCTGCTCCGCCTCTGATCCAGCTCCCTGCTGATGGCCTGGGAAAAGCAGCAGAAGATGGCCCAAGGGTTTGGGCTCCTGCTACATGCAGGGAGAACTGGAAGAAGCTCCTGGCTCTTGCCTTCAGCATGGCCCAGCCTTGGCCATTGCGGCCACATGGGACGCAAACCAGTGGACGGAAGATCTCTCTCTCTCTCTATATATATATATATATAACTCTTTCTAATAAACAATTCATTTATTAAAAAAGACAAATGCTGGTGAGCATGTGGATAAAAGGGAACCCTTATATACTATTAGAGGAATGCACATTAGAATGGACATTATGGAAAACACTATAGGGCTTCCTTAACAAAACCTGATCTACCACATGAGCCAACCATCCCATCCTCGGTATATTCCTGAAGGAAATGAAATCACAAGAGAGCGATCCCTGTACGCCTGTGCTCGATGCAGCACCAGGGACGACAGCCAAGCTAGGGAATCTGCCCGGGGGTCCCTCGAGGAGGGATGGATGCAGGCAATGTGAGCTCACACACAGTGGGATGTGATTCAGCCATAAACAGGAACGCAGTCCTGCTGTTGCAGCAGCATGGGTGGAACTGCAGATCACGTTACGTGAAATAAGTCGGGACCAACGCTGCACCTCGAATGTGGAGCTGAAAACAAGTCGGTCTTCAGCCATTACTAGAGGCTGGGAGGGGTGCGAGAAGGCAGGATGGGGAGGAGGGGGCTCCTGGGTGGACGGGTGGGTGTCCCACCTGTTCTGCAGCACAGCTGGGGCACTCAGCTCGCAGTGGGGAATTCGATGCTGTGTAAGGAACCGGGAGAGCGGAGCTGGGAGGCTCCAGACACGGAGGAAAGAGAACAGAAAACCTGGGAGAGACCAGGCTGTGGATGTGTGTGCTACGGCACTGCACCCCACAAGAGAATTTTATAAAGCTAGCTTTTTTAAAAAAAAAAGAAAGAACACGTTGCACTTCAGTGGCCCGGCCCGCTCCCACGGGTACCGACTCTGCCACCTGCCCTAGGACCCTGACTCGCTCACTGGAGGCAGAAGCCCTGCTTATCCGGGTCTCAGGGGGCTCCAGGGTGGGCCTGTGGGAAGTGCTGAATTGACAGGAGGGGCAGTGCAAGGTCAGGAAAGGAACTAGTCCTGCCCTGGGGACTGCAGAGCACCCAGCCAGAGCCCAGAAGCTCATGGCCAGGCACGGCTCCCAGCTCTCAGCCGGGCCTCCCAAGGTAGCTCCGCGTCCTCAGGCCTCGCCTCTTCCTGCCGTGGGGCAGAGCAGGCCCGGAGCCTGTGCGCTCAGTGGCCAGCCACTCTGGCTGCCCGGCAGCAGGTCTGGAAGCCCGGCTGGGCACGGGAGGGTGCGGGGAGGAAGGTCCTTCATACTCACAGGAGGGAGTTCTTGGCCGCACTCACGATACAGGAAACCCTGTCGGCGTCCACATAGTCGTAGGTGAACTCTTCCGGGTCTGTCTTGGAGCCGGACTCGGAGAGCAGGAGGCCCAGCCAGTGGCCCATCTCCTCCGAGGACTTGGCCTGAAGGAGTGGGAGAGACCAGAGCAGCCTGTCCCACCTGGCCCTTGCCCCCAGCAAGCCTCAGAGGCAGTCGGGGGGCCAGGCTCCCTCCCCAGTAACCTGTCCAGTCACCGACATCTTGGTGCCCCCTTAACGATGCTGTGGACATGCCACAAGCATTACGTGACTTCCAGACAGGGTTCGATTACCAGGCAATGACTACTAACATCGTTATCTGTTCAGAGTTACTAACTCCTAAAACAATAGTGCCACCAGTAATTTGGGTCGATACTTCCATTTGCAAGTGATCACATGCCTAAACCCACACATACCAGACTGCCTGGGCCTCTGCTGAGAATTAAGGCCCCATTTCTTTCTGAAGTCCAGAAGGTCGGGGGGTCCTAACACCTTTCACCAGGCAGACAAGCTCTGCTGCCTCACCAGCTAAGTGCCGCAGAGTCTGGGGGTCGGTTCTTTCTCAGGAGACAACGCGTGCTACATAAAACCCACAGCGGGGACGTCCCTAGCAGTGCCAGTGTTGTTTCTTGCCTTTATGACAAGGAACCACCACAACAAAAAACACCCCTGAGAATCCTATAAAAGCTACAAGTTTCTTTTCATGAGAAAAACGGCTGATACCTCGTGTCACCCCACACGGCTCTACCGCCCCGAATGCCACACTCTGCCTTCCAGTTGGTTCCCTCTCCCATTCCTTTCCATCTGGGTTTCCCAACGTGGCCTTCCACACTGTAGCCTCTCACCATCTCTGCTCCAGGCAGCTGCGGCAGGGCCGGCTCTGTGTGTCCCTCCTGGTCCCCCTTCCACCAGCCAGTAGCTGGAAGATGTGTCTCAAACCCCGGTCTGAGCATGCACCCTCCCTTGACATCCACCAGGGGCTCCACTGTGCCTAGGATCCACCCCCCAACACACACACCCCACACACGCATTCCCTCTCACTCTGCCAGTAACTGTAGGCAACGAGTGGGGTGATCAGCTGAATAACATCACACCCTCAAACGAGAAGCTACAGTTCCAGGAGCACAGGCAGCGTCTCGTCTCTTGCTCTCTGGTTCACCGTGTTGCACTGAGTTGACACCAGTATCTGTCAATGATTAGATGAATGAGCTTGTCCTTGGGAAGCAACTGCTTTGTGGGCCTTTTCACCACCAGAGGGCAGTGTTAGATCAAACTTGGGATGAAGACCCCAGAGACAGGACCCAGTGCAGGGGAGTGAATGGGGCAAGACCTTGGGCTCCGCCTGCCCCGGCTCATTGCAAGGCATTATGTCACCTCTTATTTTTGTACATGCACCATCCCATCACACAGGGTGGGGAGTGGAGAAACGTCATTGTATTCCAAAGCTCATTCTGCCAGCCAGATCCGCCCTGGGCTCACCAGGCCCAGCGGCTCTCCCTGTCGGTCACACATACACAGCAGCACACCCACTTTCCGTCTCCAGAAGCCTTTCCAGCCACTCAGGGAGTTATAAATACTCCTGCCCCAAGAGCAGGAAGCGGCTCATTGTCCCACTCCTATGGCACAACCACCCTGAGGTCAGAAAAGGAATGGAAAGTTTAAAACACACACAATCCCGGACAAAGGGAGTCACAGCACACGGCTCCATCGGTCCTGCCTTGCTGGGACTACAGCTGGAGGCGGGCAGCCCGTTGCAACGATGGCCACCCCGTAGTTTCCCTACTGCCTGTCCCCCGGGCCAGCCGCACCTCGAGCTTGGCCAGCTCCTCGCCGTTGTGCAGGATGCGGAAGGAGTAGAGGTGGTCGGGGCTCGGGTCTGGGACCACCTCACAGCCCACCAGGCTGAGGGGTTGCTGGGCTGCCTTGCTCCGGTTCCGGTCCTGGTAGAAGTGCAGGTGACTGCCCCTGACGGAGCACCAGCGTGACTTCCACTGGCTGTTCACCAGCACGTTCAGATAACCTGCAGGGGGAGAGGCGGAGACAGGGCAGGCGGGGTGAGGCTTCCGGTGGAGGTGCACCTGCGGGGGCGGGGCTCCAAGACTGCAGGCACCTGTGGGAGGGTCCACGAGGACCTAAAGCCACAGCTGTCCAGGGCTAGTAGCACCTCTGGGCCTCCTGAGTTTTCTCTAGAATCTTTTTTTTTTTTTTTTGACAGGCAGAGTGGACAGTGAGAGAGACAGAGAGAAAGGTCTTCCTTTGCCGTTGGTTCACCCTCCAATGGCCGCCACGGTTGGTGCGCTGCAGCCGGCGCACCGCGCTGATCCGATGGCAGGAGCCAGGTGCTTCTCCTGGTCTCCCATGGGGTGCAGGGCCCAAGCACTTGGGCCATCCTCCACTGCACTCCCTGGCCACAGCAGAGAGCTGGCCTGGAAAAGGGGCAACCGGGACAGAATCCGGCGCCCCGACCGGGACTAGAACCCGGTGTGCCGGTGCCGCTAGGCGGAGGATTAGCCTAGTGAGCCGCGGCGCCGGCCCTCTAGAATCTTAATTCCAGAACTTATGGTGCTTCTTCTATCTCACGGAGACTGGGAATCTCAAAGCGCATTTTCTTTCTTCCTTTGCATAGCAGCCGCAGGCGGGCAGCACAGCTCTCCTGGCCTTGGGCAAAGGCGCCCTCCAGAGGGCAGTGACCAAGCCGTGCGGGTATACTGTGTACTCCAACACACATACCTCGACCCCACTCCACCCCGCAGCCCCAGGGCCCTGCACGTGCTCATGTGGTGGGCTGACATCCCTCTGGCTTGCCTCTCCAGGCACACTGGCTTGCAGAGTAGACACCTGCTGCATGCTAAGGGGCTGGTGGCCACTCCAGACGTCAGTCAGGATGAACTATAGCAACAGGTGAAAGTGACAGCCACCTCCCCGCCCAGCCCAGCCCAGCCCAGCGTGGGACACATGGGCGTGTCATGGCTATCTCTGCATCCCGTTATCCTCACACCACGGTAGCAAGGGGCAGAAGGAGAGCCCAGGGCTACCCATGCAGATGCTGCACACACCCATCGCAGCCCTCTGGACCTAAGGGTACTTTGGGTGCACTCAGAAGTTCCCCAAGTTGGGGGAAGAAGAGCAGCTGTGTTCTCTCCCGCCCTGCCTGGGGTCGCAGGGCCCCAGGGGCATGTGTGGCTGCTGTGTAGACCTCCGGCAGGATCTGGGCTCCCAAACCATGCTCTGAGCTCTCAGCGAGCCCTGACAGCCCCTGTCTCACTTTTTGGGGCCAGCTGCAGCTGCCCAGTGTGGCAGCCCTCAGGTCCTGGGGGCAGCTATGATTCTTACTCGCTGTCTCCAGGGATCTCTCCGGCGGCTCCAGGGAGGTGGACTTCTTCCTGCCCAGGTTCATGAGGTTGCTCAACCTGAGGCCAGCAGAGCACTTCTTCTTGACTGTGGAGATGACAGAGAGTGTGGTCAGCATCGCACTGGGCTCCTCGAGCACCCTTAGCCACTCCTACCACATCCACTCACCCCGTTACATGTGTACACATACATGTGCACACACATGCCTTGTCCATTCCCACATCCACACATCCCTGTGATACACATGTGTGTGCACACCTACACACGTGCCTTAGCCATTCCCACATCCACTCATCCTGGCACATACACCTGCACACATACATGCTTTAGCCATTCCCATCACATCCACTCACCCCAACACACGTGCACACACACATGCCTTAACCATTCCCACATCCACTCATCCCTGTGATACACACACGCGCACACACACATGCCTTAACCATTCCAACATCCACTCATCCCTGTGATACACACGCATCCACTCATCCCAACACATGCACACACACACACACACACACACACACGTATGCATCTGCTCCACACACACACACACACACACACACGTATGCATCTGCTCCCCAAACTGGGATGCCCAGGCTCTAGAGGGAACAGCAGCTTCCTCTGGGATAGGTAAGCACCTCAGGATCTTAACACACTGCACTGGGCCCAGGAGACTGGAAATAGGGGTGACAAACAAGAAGGGCTGAGAGAGATTCTATTTCCAGCCTCTTCAGGAAACCTAACTTCAATTTGGCCACCTCTCCCTTGTTCCTGGATCTCTCCAGGGCAGTATTTCCAAGCAGCTTACACACTGGAAACCATGTTACAATGAGTAACCTGGATCAACCAGGAGGCCAGTCGCACCTGCTGGGGAACCACCCCCTCCCCCGCTCACGGACAGGAGCCACGGCATCATCACCATCTTTGGTCTCCGGGATCTCAGGCTGGTAGCCGTCCATGGGGCCTCCACACTCGGAAGCCGACAGGTACTTCTCTGCTATATCTGGCTGTGGATGAGAGAGAGAGATGAGCAGGAGCCACTGGCTGGGAACGGTTCCCTTGGAGAAATAATCAATGGCTCTCGGGTAGAGTCCGGGGGGCACCAGACCAAGCCCCCACTGGCACCCAAACTGCAAAGTCCAGGTCAGTGGCAGGGCACTGGCTTAGCAGCTCCCTGGGGCTCTCGAGAGCACCCACCTTCACCCTCCCTTCATGGGGTGCCCTGCCCCAGCTCAGAGCACCTTCCCATCCCCAGGCCAACATCTCATCTACAAGTCCTCCTAAGGGCTGCTCCTCCTCCTCAACGGTGGCTCTGATGCCGGTGGGAGGGCAGCTAGGCAGCCCCAGGGAAGTTGCCTCCAAGCTGGGAGCCACCCAAATCGGGAGCGCGAGGCGACCGTACAGCAACCCACCGGCCTCCGGAGGGGAGTATACACGTACACGTGGGTGGACCACGAGTCCCGTCCTGACTCCCACACCCTGCAGCCTTGGCCGGTGCTCTGAGCCTCACTCCCATGCATGCCGGACAGGGACGATGCCCAGTGTGTATCTGCGGGGCTGCCAGGGACTAGAAACAGTTCCTAGAAAACTGTAGCTGCCACCGCTGCTAACACCCAAAGCATCCAGAATGTTCTGCCCAAGCCTCCTCTACAGGGCCTCTGGAGAGCCGGCTAGGGCCTCCCTGACAAGAGGCTCACGAGCCCTTGGTTCTCATCCCCGTTAGGAGGACTCAGCTTCAACCCCAACCTGTGTTTTCCCGTCAGTGCCCAAGGCGTGAACGAAAACAGTAAACACTCCACTCCAAGTCATTCTCCCGGGTTGTGGCCTCTCCCCAGGGCACGGCCAGTGCGTGCAGGGAACTAGGGCCTCCTCCCTGCCAAGCCCCCTGTACCTCTTGCTTTCCTCCCTGCCCAGGACGAGTACCCCAGGAGGAGACCCAGTGGCCCTGTAGCTGTTGTGGACATGCCTGGGGTTCAGGGACGCCCCTGCAGAGACTCAGGGACATGAGCCATGGCCTTGCATGCCCACGAGGCTCCCCCTGCAGCTGGCACTCAACCCAGCTTCAGCGACCTTGACTCTTAAGGTCCCACCAGGTCCCGTGCAGAGGAGCAGCCAGGCTGTTTTGGTGGTGGTGGTGGTTGGGTGGGGGGAGCAGCCTTGCGATGGCTCCCCTGGGAATTAGTGGGGCAGCAGAGCCACATAGGGAACCCTCCCTGCTGGGCAGTCACTCTGGCTCCCTAACACTTCCCCCTCAAGCAAGAAAGCACCTGAGGACCACACCAGCTTCATCCATTTTCCTGCCAAGCCAAAACTGCTTCCCTCATCCAGCCAGTGTATCTTCTTACTCTGTGGGCTGAAATTCAGAAATGCGGCTCCCAACTCCTCACTTTTGGCTGTCACGGGGAAGGAACTGCATGCTTCCCTGTCCCCCCAGGCAGGGCAAAGACTTACCTTCTGGCCAGGCGGGCGCTGGGCATCCGGGGTGTACTGGTTTCCCTCGGACGCCCCCTCGGAAGGCAGGCCGCTCACCTCCTGGATGACCTGAGGCCAGAGGAGAGCAATCAGCACAGGCCAAGGTCCCCGAGGCCCTCTGGCCACCACGCACAGCCAGAGTGATGCGGGAGATCTGGCAGCTGGGGAGGGGGGAGATGTGCCACTTCTAAAGAACAGAGAGCCACGTCCATGCCCGCCGGGACCCCTTGTGGCCTGGGATGCAGCCGGGCAGGCCTTTCCTGCAGGCCCTGCAGCGTCCTGGGGCAAAGCCACCCCTCGACTCCACGAGCCCCCTCCCTGCCACCATTCCAGGCAGGGGTGCGTGGGGAATGCCTGCTTCTGCTGGGTGGTCCTCTGGCTTTGGGGGGGAGGGGCCGTGGGATTCTCACTGCCTGCTCCCCAGACTCATCTGCTGTCACACCAGCTGTCCCCAGGGCCACGACCCCCCGCCCCCCACCGGCACTCAGGGCTTGGGCCGCAGGCAGAGGGAAGGTCAGAGGCAGCTCTGATGTCACTGCATGGCGAGGATGGCAAGGTCCTTCCCACTTCTGAGCCAGGGGCCACCTCAGGGATCTCGGGGGGGGGGTGTCTCCCTGGACATGCACAGGTGCTCCGGAGCCACAGATTAGCAGACGCAACTTCAAAGAGCTCCCTTTTCAGTGTGCCTCGCGCAGTTTGTGGCCATGTGTTTGAAATGAGAACAAAGAACAAAAGGAAGGGCAGCCAGGGAGTCGTGGAAAGTTCTAGCATCTCTCACTTTGGGGCCCACTCTAGCTCGGGACTTCGGTGCACACTGGATATGCAACCCAGCACCACGGGAAGGGGCGGGTGGCTGGGATCTGCAGACAAGCCAAGCGACCTCAGGTCTAAGCGTCAGTCACCACCTCTGTAAGACGGGCACTCATGCACAGTGAGGTCTCAGACGGGGCAGGCCGTGCACCACTGTCCTCATTAGTCTGGCTGAATACATGCAGGCCCCTGCCCAAGGGAAGCGCCACCAGGCCAGGAGTTCAGGCTCCAGGGCTTTAGGGCACGCACTGGGTGGGTGGGTGGGTGGTGACGGGGTCTGCCTCTCTGGAGAAGCCCTGCCTGGTGTCCTCCTTTTCCGGGACTCTCACCCAGACTCAGCACCTCGCAGTCACTACCATCCCCCTACCTTATGCTGGCACAGGTGTGATTACGTGGGATTGGGACGCAGAGGCCCAAGGAAGGAAGACAGGCTTGACCAAGCTCCAGGAAGAGAGCCCTCGGCCCCAGCTGCCCAGCTCCTGCAAGAGTGGCAGCTTCTCCGAGCTGGGCACGGACAGCCAGTGCCACCTACGTGACCCGGGAGGACGATTCCCTGCAGAGGCTGGACAGGTGGGCCAAGCCTCCTGAAAGCCTTCTTGTCTGGGGGTCTCGGGAGGAGGGCGTGAGAGTTTGAGGCAGGGAGGGCTGGGGGTTGGGGGAAGTAACCATGAGTCTGAGCACTTGGACAAACAGCGCTGGGAACCAGGAGCAAGAGCAGTGTGTGTGTGTGTGTGTGTGTGCATGTGTGTCTGCATGTACGTGTATGCAAATGTGTACGGGAATGCACAGTGAGGGAGGCTGGGGGGGGTTGGCATAAGGACTGGAGACCTGGGCAAGAGAGGCCAAAGCCCAACCAGAGCTCTGGGTCTGAGTCTGCTCTGCAACCCCTCTCGGAGCCCTCAGCGCTCTCACCTACACCAGCCAAGTTCACAGAGCACTCAGTAGACTCCAGGGACAGCACTGGAAGGCACTGTGTGTGCAAGAAGGTACCCATCCAAGATCATTCAGCTAAAAAAGGGTCAAGTCAGGGTTTGAACCTGGAACCCTGGCTCTTAAATGCCCAGGCTTGGCCTTCTGGAGCTAACATGCCCCCAGAGCCCCCTATGAAGAACCCACAAGCAGTGCAGGGGCCTTTCCTGTTCTATGTCATTCTCTTTAACCACCTGAAAAACGTGCAGTAGGGACTGATGCACCTGCCACCTCCTCCCAGAAGCTTGGTTCCGCCAGGCCAGTGATTCTCAAGACATTTAGTGGGTTCACAAAAACAGCCCACCTGCTCCAAATCAGGGGTGCTCAGTGTTCAAGGTGGCCAGAGCCCTGGGCAGGTACTGTTTTCAGTCATGCTTTAATAAAGTAGGCCAGGGAGCCAGTGCTATGGCATAGCAGGTAAAGCCTCCACCTGTTAACGCCAGCACATCCCAAATGGGTGCCGGTTTGTGCCCCAGCTGCTCCACTTTCAATCCTGCTTCCTGAGTGGCCTGGGGACAGCAACAGAACATGGCCCAAGTGCTTGGGCCCTGACACCCACGTGGGAGACCTGGAAGAAGCTCCTGGCTTCAGCCTGGCCCAGTGCTGGCCATTGCGGCCATCTGGGGAGAAGACAAGCAGATGGAACGTGTGTGTGTTTGTGTGTGTGTGTATGTCTCTCTCTCTCTCTCTAACTCTGAGTTTCAAATAAATAAGTCCTTAAAAAAAAAAAAAAAAGGCCAGGTCTGTTTCTGATGGGCCCACCCCAGTGCTTATGCTAGCCAGGGTGGCAGGCAGGGCGGGATGGGGGCAAGTCCAGTGCTCCTACAATGGCAATGCATTTGCATGGTCACAGTGTGGAGGGGCCAGCAACTAGGAGGGGAAAGGCCTCTCATAGACCTCACGAGGGGCCTGCTGAGTTTGAAGACCCTTCTGGAACTGTGGGTCCCTTTCCTGGTGCAAACCTTACACCTGCTGGAATCATCAAGCTCATCTTGAACCTGGGGCAGCTGGGCACGTGCCCAGGAGCTTCTCCATCACCACACCTTGGCTGAGTGCGGGCAGACGTGACCATGTGTGTCTGTAGTGGCAGGAAAGCCAGCACTATGGTCAGCCAGGCCTAGGACAGGAATCCAATGATGCCACTCACTTGACAGGTGGCCTTGCTTGGTTGCCTCTGCCCTCGGAGCCTTAATCTCCACTCCTATAAAATGGGTACATTCACATTCTCCAGTACACCCAGGGTGGTTAGCTGGTAATTTGGTAAATACGAAACAAATGGCAGTGACGTCTGTTGTTTTCCACTAAAGAGACAGGGATGCCTCACTAGAAGCAAAAAGGCCAACAGAATCCAGCCACAGCCACGTCCAGGCCGCTGAAGATTCAGACTACGGGGACAGCACCACCCTCACCTCCATGACACCGATGCCACTGCTTAGACCACAGCAAGCCCCGGGGACCCTGCACCATCGACCGCAGCGTGGGAGCTAGAACTCGGGCAGCCCCGGGCCGCGCCCCTGCTCCTGGGGCCCTCACCCTGAGCCACTGCTCGGCTTGGTCCCTGCTCTGCAGGCCCAGCACGATCACGTCGGCGTTCATGGGCGTGATCTTCAGCTTGTGCTCCTTCTTGCGCACTTGCTTCTCCTTGTGCACCACGCTGCTGCCCAGCAGGTTCACGTCCAGCTGAGGGCTGTGGTCCTTGGAGGATTTGTAGCACTGGGAGGGAAGAGACGAGAGAATGCTTGGCCAGGGGGGCCGAGTCAGGCTCTGCAAAGCCGGGGTCGCAGGACACTGCAGGACCCCCTGGAGCACGACTTTACCCCCAAACCAGAAGGCTGGACACCGAAAGGAGGCCCAGAGCCTTGACCTTGACCTTAATCAACAGCCCTTGCCCTCAACATTGGATTCTCTCCGTTCCCTTCCAGCCTCCTTCTCACTGCTGCAGGGCCCTGGGATAATCCAAATGGCAGGTGCTTTCTCCAGCCCTGAGGGGAGGGGTGCTCCCGGAGACACGCATGTGCCGGCTGATGACATCCTAGCCAACATGAGCCTCATGGATGAGGGGGAATCCTGCGAGAGGATATAGCCTGGGGACGTCGCAGCCATCTGCGTGCACGCCATGGAGCTCATGGGACAGCAAAATCACCTGGTGACGCAGTCACAGGGCACATCCCTGTCGTTCGTGGGAGCGCATCTGTGTCTCCCACAGACGCAAAGTGGAGCAATCACTTCCTGTTCCCCACCTCTCTGCACCCCGGCTTCCGCAGCAGACCACCCCCGGGGTACAAGAACCAAGCCTACCGCCTGCCTGGTGGGGAGGATGCCGAGGTAGCAGAGAGGAGGGGCTTTCTGAGAGCACTGGGCCCCCCAGCTGCTCGTTTGGAAAACGGGGTCCTTACCGTCGTAAGGGGTGCAGAATGGGACCACCTGAAACAACATCTTCACAGAGCAGCGATGCAAAGGTATTTATGAGAATTCCGTGGGAACTCAAGGCAGCACATGAACTGAATTTTAATTTAAAACAACAGGAAGCAGGACTCTGGTCAGAGTCAGGGCTTCTGATTCCTCCGTGAGACTGGACTTGGAATCGGTGACTTGAAATAGCGCAGGTCTGGGGAGGGGCTGATGACAGAAGTGGGGGTGGGGGAAGCCTGACTCGGCTCTGGTGCTCGGGACACAGAGAAGGGATGGGAGGGGGGTGCAGAACGGGTCTGGCTCAACAAAGGGTGTATGGACGGGGTGGGTGGGGGGCAGTGGTGGTCACCACCCTGCTTTGAGAGCCTGATGAAAATGACCAGGCCTCTCCAGTTCAGGAAAAACCCACTCGTCCCCACCCAGAATTCCCGGTCAGGGAGAAGTTCAAGTCTCCCACCATGGAAAGGCCCTCAGCCCCATCCCCCCATGGAGAACACACTGACCAGGAGCCGGGTGTCTCTGATGACGCACAGCTGCTTGGCCCACTGGCCCAGCCACTTCTTGCGCCACAGGAAGGCGCAGATGCGGGCGTCACGCATCAGCTCGATGCTGGCCTCGGGTGAGGGCCACTGGTAGGGGGCCGCCTTGCCCTTGCTGCTTTCCTCTTCGTCGTAGGACTCATAGGAGCTGCTCACAGCCTCCCCGTCCTCTGCAAGGAGAACGGGCTCGGTCAGGGGCCCAAGCAAGCATGCCTGGTGGTGGTCAGGGTCAAGGTTGGGGGTAGGGACCAGCAGGAGGTCTTCCCAGGGCCTGGCTGTGCCGTCAGCAGGCCACCCGCCTGCCACCCCGTCTGGTTTTTGCCAGGGTCAGAGGAGGGCGCGTTCACTCCGAACAGCCAGCTGCAGGAAATGAGTTTCTGGAGACGGTGGCCGCCTTCCCATCCCTAAGGACCCCTCTTGGTCATGGCACTTTTTAAAAACCCACTGTCATCCTTCAGAGTCTGTCCTCTGTCCCCTTTGCCTTCCTCTGCCCCTGGCAACCAACCAACCTCTCGTTCCTGCTGCTTCCGGAGTCCCCACACTCAGCAGGCACCCGCTGGGCACCACCTGCCTCAGTTTCCCGCCTCTGCCCCCACTGCCCTGCAAGAGCTCTGCTCCCTTCTGCAGGGCGCGCTGCTCTCTGCAAGGCCAATCAAAACCATGTGAGCATAATCAATCAATCAGTCCATCAGTCAATTGGCCAGTCAAGTGATCAGTCAGTCAAGCAATCCCTGAAAAAGCAGGGCATGGAGGAAAGGGAACCAGCGCAGGATTCCTGGGCTCAACTGAGGCTCTGCATGGGAACCCTGTCTGCCACAACCCTGATCCTCCGTCTGGATTTCCCACGGACGGGGAACTCACTACCTCCATTCCCTCCCTGGGCAGCCCTAACAGTTAAGAGAGGGGCCCATCACCTACGATCACACACAGCAGTCCCACAGACGGCCAGCTCATGGGCCCTCTGTCTCCCCAGAAAATCCCAGAGCCCCCTTCTAACTACATGGTTCCTGTGTGCCATGGAAGCAGGACCACCCTTGGATCTGACTGCAGGAAACCAGAACAAGGTCACCACTAGTTACTGTAGTGCCAGCGCCAGCGAAAATGCATTTTATTTTGTTACGATACTTCCAGAAATAACACTTTGAACATGTCATAGTAGTTTTCTTCAAAAGCAGTGTGTTGATTCCCCTCTTCGTGGCTTAAGACAAACAGCTGCCCAGTTTATAATTTTCTGCTTATTGAACAGATGAAACAGCGCATGCCACCCAGTGGGGCCCTGGTCTCTCGTAGGGCAGGCCTGTTAGGGAGCAACGTGGCAGCCTGCTTAATGGGCCATAAAACACCCACCCTCTGGTCCAACACTCCTAGTTCTGGGAGCTTCTCCTAAGAAACTAGTGTTTTGGCCAGCGCCGCGGCTCACTAGGCTAATCCTCCGCCTGCCGCACCGGCACACTGGGTTCTAGTCCCAGTGGGGGTGCCGGATTCTGTCCTGGTTGCTCCTCTTCCAGTCCAGCTCTCTGCTGTGGCCTGGGAAGACAGTGGAGGATGGCCCAAGTGCTTGGGCCCTGCACCCGCATGGGAGACCAGGAGGAAGCGCCTGGCTCCTGGCTTCGGATCAGCGCAGCGTGCCGGCCGTAGCAGCCAGTTGGTGGGTGAACCAACAGAAGGAAGACCTTTCTCTCTCTCTCTCTCTCTCTCTCTCTCTCTCTCTCTCACTGTCTAACTCCGCCTGTCAAAAAGAAAAAAGAAAAAAGAAACTAGTGTTTAAAGCAACAGGCGAGAGGAATGTTCCACGCGAGAGAGGACATTCACGCAAGTGCTGATCAACAGCAGAAGGTTCCGGCTCAGCAATGAGTGACTTCCTTCATGGAGGAGCACACCATGCAGCCATGGTCAATGACAACTCTGCGAGCTGGTCTGCAAAGCCAGATCCTCAGACATGACGCCCCACGAGAAAGCACAACTAGAACAGCCCACGTGGACAGGGCAGCTCTAGAGGGCAACAGAGGGAACTTGAAACGGTCGATCTGATAGGGTTCTAGGACTGGTGATTTTGTCCGTATTGCATTACTGTACAGCAAGTGAAGGGGCCGGCACTGTGGGACAGTGGGTTAAGCTGCTGCCTGTGATGCTGGCATCCCATGTGAACGCTGGTTCAAGGCCCAGCTACTCTGCTTCTGATCAGTTTCTTGCTAATGCACCTGGGGAGGCAGTGGAAGACAGCCCAAGTGCTTGGGCCCCTGCCACCTACATGGGAGACCTGGATGGAACTCTAGACTTCTGGCAGCAGCCTGGCCCAATCCTGGCTATTGTGGCCATTTGGGGAGTGAACCGGCAGATGGAAAATCTCCTCTCTCTCTCTCGCTCTAAGTTTGTCTTTCAAGTAAGTAAGTCTTCAAAAAAAAAAAAAAAAGTAAATGAAATAAAAATGACATAGTATCACTGGGCTTCTTCCTTCAGGGACACAAAAGATCGGAAGGAAGCGACACGGTACAGCAGGAAGAAACTGGCTGAGTCCCCGCTGCTCTGTGCATCTGCGGCTGCCCCGTGTCCCATGGAGAATCCCAACACCTGCCCATCCTCCTCCACGGGGCACCTGCTCACTGAGTTGAGACAGCACATCTCAGGAGCTGGAGTCGCTGGAGAAACGCAGGGCAGACGTCCTAAAAATCTTCCTGACCCTGAAAGGGTCCCGGCACACCACGCGTGGCGGGTGTTCTGAATTCAGATCCCCGGCTTCCAAGGTCGAGGGCCAGGGTGCAGCCCCATCCCCATGTCCTGCAGGACGTCCTGGGAGCCCAGGGGAGAGAGCCATGCACACGCGGGGACTTCCAATCACGTGTCCCAAAGCCACACGCAGGGGGTCTGTGGAAGGCAGCGTAAGTCACTCATCTGGAAGAATGACACACGGCCGTGCACATGCAGGACACATGCATGTCCCCAGGGCAGGCACCCATCTCTGAGAGCAAGCAGGCAGCAGGCAACTCCGGCTAAGCAGTACCCAAGGTGATTGTGGCGTAAATGACTCCTTCGGGCACCTGCACCCATCTGGGAACCTCAGTAGGGAGAACTCGGCCAGCATGACCTGCACGATGTCCAGAGGCACAGAGGCAAGAGGAGAAAGATAAGATGAGGACAGGGACCTGCCCAAGAGCAGAGACACAGAGAGACAGAGAGACCCAGGCACGGCCACAGGGTCCCCGCAGCTAGTGCTGGACCTGGGGGGTGGGGTGTGCTCAGCAGGAGAGGCCACAGCCTGGCCAAGGATGTCATTTCCCAGCCCTCTTTCTGCCCAGAGGTGACCACGTGACCACCAGTCACCCACAGGACACGGGCAGAAGTAATGGCGCCCCTCCTGGCTGGCACTTCCAGGAAGCTGATGGGATCTCTGCTGTCTCTCTGCTGAGTCCTGGGGGTCCCTGGGCTCCTACCTGAGACACAGCAATACCCACGCTGACTGCTACGTGAGGGAGAAACAGGTCTCTGCCGAGTGATCAGAAACTGAAACTGGGGTCACTTATCACAGCGCTGGCATCACCCCAGCATGAGACATTATAAGTGGCACGTGTGACATCTCGGGCATGCACAGGCCACCAGGGCGATCACTCAGCATCTACTCGGATGGGGACCCAAGCCCAGGGCAGCTGTATGGGGCAGGGGATACTACTGGGACTGCAGGACAGAAGCCCACACAGCTGGCCTTTGGCAGGAAGTAAGCTAGCTGGCTGTGTCAACCATCGACGCCCGGGGCTGGACCCTGGCCCTCCTTCCTCCTACCATAGCATCATGCCTGCTGCCCAACCAGGTGTGGGGTTGCAGCCAGCTGGTCACCCAAGTGCAGCCCTCCCTGTGTGCCAAGTGTGACCACTTCTCCCCAAGTCACCCCGATTCTGTTGGAGGCAATGCACCCCTGCCTTTAGCACACTCTGGATTTCCTCGTTCATAGAGCTTCCTGGCTGTCCGGGCAGCAGCCCCTACCTACCTAGCCCTGGCTACAGCCAAGGTGAGCCACAGTCAAGAGACAAATCCCAAGAAGCCCAGTCTCTCTGACCACTTGTTTTTATCGAGATGCGGTGTCTGTACCACACACAGGCTCGCAGGTGTGTCCAGGAGGCAGGCCCCGGCAGGTGCGGGCCACGCCCGAGAGACAGACCCGGGACACACGGAGGTGCTCACCGCGTGAGTCACCGTTTCCAGCTTCAAGACGCGCCTGGACACAGTGCCGCGCCCTGGGTTTTGGTCTGATGTCACAGCCCCCACGTGGAAATCCACCTTCCCCAGGCTTCGAACCACTGGCCAAGGACACAGAGTTGCAGCGTGAGCCCCGACCACAGAGGCCGGTCACCCAGTGCCCGGGCTCAGTCGCCGAGCAGCCTTCCCAGGGCCTGCAGCCTCATTCGGAGAGAAGCCAAAGCCCTCAGTGCAGCCCCTCTCCTGCCACTACTCCTTACCTCACCTGCTCCTGCCACGCTGGCCTCCTGGTCGGTCCTCAAATATGCCAAGAGCTCTCCTGCCTCAGGGCCTTTGCGTATCCTGTGTTTTCTGGAAGGTTCTTCCTGCAGGGCTCTGCAGACCCAGTCCCACCTCATTCAGGGATCCAACCAAAGTCTGACCATCACGGAGGCCTTCCCTACCTGCCTAAAGTCACCACCCACTCCTGCTGCTGCAGCCCAGCCCCTGTTTCCTGTTCATCCTGACACTCACCTCTACCCACAGCATTCTAGCTTTACTTGCTGTCTGTCTGCCATCCCTGAACCTGAGTGGTGGGATGGCTGGGTGCGTGTCCCTGCCTCATGGTGGGAGCGCATTGCCAAGAGCCCATTGAGACAACGTGCACCCTGAATAAGTCTCAGCCTGACCTCCATTTCCACCGCTTACCAGGGCGGCAATGCCCTGTGGCCCACGCCTCTCCTCCGCCACTCTCCTGTGCTCAATCCAGCAATGTCCAGACGGAAACACAGAAAACGTCAGACACAGGAAAGCTGCCCTCAGGTGCCATCCCTGCCTCTCTGCAGGGGGACAGGCTCTGCTGTCAGTCTCAGCTCCTGCGCAGACTCAAGGCCAAATGTCCTGTGGCCAGTGCTCCACTTGGGCCATGGTCTCTGCCAACAGCAGCCCAGCCCAGGCCTCGCAGCCCAGGGTGAGCACGCTGGGCCCGAGCAGGTGAGTCGGGGTCGGGGTTGTCCTCTGTCATCCATCAGGAAGCAGTCCGTGTCCCCTCCCCCCAATCCTACCCCCGCCCCAGAGGCTGGGACGCACCATTGAGGGACACGTCATATGGCTCCGCCTCCTCATAGTAGCCCTCCGGGGACTCGATCTTCGGGACAGTGAGCTGCTTCCGTTCTGGAATCTGTGGCGTGAACAGATAAAACAGGCAACTTCACTTACGATGCGCTGGAAGCAACCTGCAGTTAACCCTTTGGGTGGGACGAGGCAGAAGCCCAGAGGGAAAGCATCTAACTTCGAGGGAGAATGTGGCAAATCACGACTCCATCTGTCACCCAGGCCACAGGCTGCAGTGCGGCCAGCTGCAGGGCCGTGGTGTCTTGTCTAACCCGGCCTTGGCTTTCTCCTATCAAAACGAGCCTCAGCGCCTACCGCACACACACGATGTGATGATGCATGGATGGATAATGCGCTTAAGGGTCCAGCGGCGTCAGGCTGGTGTGGTAGCTGCGTGGCATTTCAACAGAAAATACTTTCTAAAAATACAGCGACTAACCGATGGCACGTGGAGGAAGACGACCAGGTTTCTAAATCCCAAATTCTTCCCACAATGCAATTCAATCCTTTGTTCAGTAAATTAAGAAACATTTTTAAACAGCCATTTGAGAGGCAGAGACAGAGAAAACTACCTGCTGGTTTACTCCCCATATGCCTCCAGTGGCCGGAGCTGGGCCACACAAAGCCAAGAACTAGGAATGCGACCCAGGGCTCCCCCGTGGGTGGCAGGAATCCAACCTCTTGAGCCATCATCACTGCCTCCCAGGGCCTGCAGGAAGCTGGATCAGGAGCCAGGGGCAGGTACTGAACTGATGTGGGACACAGGTATCTTAACTGCTAGGCCAAATGTCCACTCTTTGTTCGATAAATATCAATGGCTCTCATGCACAATCAGACTTCAGGAGTCAGCCCCAGGGAAGGCTTAACCGAGTGGCAAACGTTTAACAGCTCCTGACCCAGTGCATTGCGAGCAGTGCCACAGAGACAAAATCAAAGTCCCATGGGAGCCAGAGGGGGTGTGAGGAATGCTGGGGACCAGGGCAGGGAGCTGGGAGGATGGGCTCTTTGTGTGCTGAGTCTCAGACGACCCTGACCTTGGCAGTGGCAGGGGGTGGGAGCGCAGTATGTGAGCAAAGAACACAGGCAATGGCGTGGAAGCGGTTTGGGTAGGGAGGCAGTTAGTGGACAGGAGCTGAGGTCTGGCAGCACCACCCTGCTGCGGCCGCAGCTGACCTGCCACAGGAGGGTTGACCCGTGTAGCCAGGGCCCCCCGACCCCTGCAACAGCCTGGTCTGCACCACCCAAACCTCCCTTTCTGTGCACCTTCCAAGGATCACCAAGTCCCCCTTCTGTGTAGTGGAAACCACAAGTTCCACAATGTTGCAAACTTATAACCAGCACCAGCTGGAAACATCCGAAATGGCTGCAGGCTTTAGGTCATTATAATAGAATTAGCACGGGCCTGGCGCTGTGGTGCAGCGGGTGAAGCTGCCGCCTGCAGTGCCGGCATTCCATATGGGTGCCAGTTCGAGTCCCAGCTGCTCCTCTTCTGAACCAGCTCTCTGCTATGGTTTGGGAAAGCAGTGGAAGATGGCCCAAGCCCTTGTGCCCCTGCACTCGTGTGGGAGACCCAGAGGAAGCTTCTGGCTCCTGGCTTCAGATCAGTGCAGCTCTGGCCGTTGCGGGTGATTGGGGAGTGAACCAGTGGATGGAAGACCCCTCTCTCTCTTTCTCTGCTTCTCATTCTCTGTGTAACTCTTTCAAGTAAAATAAATAAATCTTTAAAAAATAAATAGGGGGCTGGCGCCGTGGCACAGAGGGTTGACACCCTGGCCTGAAGTGCCAGCATCCCATATGGGCACCAGTTCTAGTCCCGGCTGCTCCTCTTCCGATCCAGCTCTCTGTTGTGGCCTGGGATAGCAGTGGAAGATGGCCCAAGTCCTTGGGCCCCTGCACCCACATGGGAGACCCGGAGGAAGCTCCTGGCTCCTGGCTTCGGATCGGCGCAGCTCCGGTCGTTGCGGCCATCTGGGGAGTGAACCAGCGGATGGAAGCCCTCTCTCTCTGTCTCTACCTCTCTCTGTAGCTCCGTCTTTCAAATAAATAAAATAAATCTTAAAAAAATAAAAATAAAAAAATAAATAAAATTAGGATGATTGGCACTCCCACTCCCATCACGTACCTAAAGCCATGATACTCCTGAGATTTCTGAAAAAGGACATGGAAATGGGTGGCACCAAAGGCCTGCTTATACCCTGCCCCTTCTTTGAATATTCAGTGAAGCCCCACCCCGGACACCACCCCCTAGGCCAGACCTGGCGGGTCACTGGAGGGCTTTTTGTTCATTCCTCCCTCTCTCGCGCTTTCGCCTGCACCTACTCCTCGAGTGGGCACTCCTCCTTTGCTCCACATAAACCTGCTTTCCTGCACATCTCTACGCCTCCACCTTGGATTCTTCCACGTGTGCAGGAAGAGCTCGGAATAAGCCCAGAGCCGAGTCCTGCATGGCCTGGAGTCGAAGTCTATTTCTATGGGCCCTAGAGTTACTGCGACTTGAGTTAAATCCAGGCTTCAGGGTCTCGGAGATGCAACCTAGGGTATGTGGCAGCCTCTCTGAGCCTTGTTTCTCTTCCCCCTACAACAGGAGTCACACTGGGGCTGTCTGGAGGACTCACAGTCAGATGAGACACAACCATGCTTCCCCAGGGCCCGGCCCATGCTAAACCAGAGGCTGCCACGATCACTGTAGGGAAACCACCACAGCGCAGGGGCCGACAGGTGGGGCGGTGAGGGTGCCCGTGGTGGCAGGAGCTGAGTCCCTGGGCTGCAGCCGTGCAGGCTGGGACAGGTCTCCCTGAAGAGGGCTGGCAGGGGCCAGGCCTCAACCTGGGTCCAAGCACAGACCTTCCTGCCTGCCCTGGCCTCCTAGCACCAGTACAGGAACAAGTCACAGAGGCAGGCTCTGACCAGCTTTCAGCCCTCCCGAGAGAGCAGCACCCCTCGTAAACAGGCACGCCACCATTCGGCCGCTTCCTACGCAGATGGGGCACTGTGCCAGGCTGGCAGGAGCAGCTGCTGAAGGGAGACAGGCGTGATGTGCACTTCCTGAGGGTCAGGCCCTTGCACAAAGTGGTCCACAAGCCACAGGTGCCACCACTAGCCTGGCAGATGGCCCCACTCCCTCGTCCATTCCCAGACCCCTGGCCAGCCTGCAGCTTGCAAAAGGGCTCTGGGGCCTAGCAGTGGTCCTCCGAGAGCCAGTGTCCTGGAGTTTGGGGTCAGGGTGCACACATTCAGGGTGCACGCCTCCAAGGAGCCCCATTCCCACCAGGGAGTGCCAGACCCTCTTTCTGCGAGGAGGTGAGTCCCAGCTGGACAGCCTGAGACACCCGAGATCCGGCTCTGGGTCCCGGCCTGCAGACAGAACAGGACAGGGGCAAGGAAGCTTTCTGCAGCAGCTGCCTGTGGTCACCCTCACTCGGTCCAGGGCCTGCCACTGTGGTCACCCTTACTCCAGGGCCTGTCACTAGGGTCTGAGGCCCTGTCCCAAGTACAGCACTGAGCAGTGCTTCCCGGGAGTCTCCCCACGTCCCTCCCTGCCTAGTCTACTGCAAGTGGCTCAGTGCAGGGGGCTGCATGGTGCAGTGGGGAGGAGTCTAACCTCCCAGGCCAGGTTAGAGATCTTCCACCTGCTGCTTCACTCCCCAAATGTCACAATGGCCAGGGCTGGGCAAGCCTGGGCCCAGGAGCTTCTTCCAGGTCTCCCATGTGGGTGCAGGGGCCCAAGCACTTGGGCCATCTTCCGCTGCTTTTCAGACCACTAGCAGGGAGCTGGATTGAAAGAGGATCAGTGGAGGGGCCAGCTCTGTGGTGCAGCGGGTTAACGCCCTGGCCTGAAGCGCCCGCATCCCTTATGAACGCCGGTTTGAGACCTGGCTGCTCTACTTCCGATCCAGCTCTCTGCTGTGGCCTGGGAAAGCAGAAGATGGCCCAAGTCCTTGGGGCCCTGCACCTGCGTGGGAGACCTGGAGGAAGCTCCTGGCTCTTGGCTTCAGATTGCCGCAGCTCTGGCCGTTGCGGGCGATTGGGGAGTGAACCATTGGATGGAAGACCTCTCTCTTTCTCTCTCTTTCTCTCTCTCTCTCTCTCTCTGCTTCTCCTCTCTCTGTGTAATGCTTTAAATAAATAAATCTTAATAAAATACAAGAGGAGCAGTGGGGACATGAACTGGTGCCCACACAGGAGCGGCTGTTGTAGGCAGCAGCTTTATGGGCTAGGCTACAATGCTGGTCCGCCTGGCTGTTTTAATTACCATCGTTATGATGGTGACCATGACACGAAGATGCAGAAGAGCTTTGATGGGCAAACCTGAAGCAACTTTCTGACTGTGCAGAGAAGAGACAACAAAGGAAAGGCCCCTGGTGGCTTTTTTTCTTATTTTTTTTTAGGTCAGCAATTTTTTCTGGAAAGAACCAATGTTTTAGGGATCTGTAAGCCATTTCGGGTCTCTTCTCCCTGCTCCCAGCTCTACAGCTGTAGCCCCACCAAAGCCTTCCCCAGACAATGCTTACTCAACAGCTGGCTGCGTTCCAATGAAACTTTACTGGCAGCAGCAGGTGGTGGGATGGATTTGGCCATCAAGCTCTGATTCAGACTGTTCACAAGAGCTTAGATAAGGAGCGGCCCAGGTGACCTGAGGCACCCCTGCAGCCCTAAGCAACCCATCCCGGAGGGCACTGTGGAAGGATCCCAGATGGGGGTAGTGGAGAGGCCCCGCCCAGCCTCCCCGCTGACCATGGCAATGTCCTTCCAGGGAGGACGCTGCTTCGTCCACAGAGCAGGTCACTTAAGACCAGCGCCAAGGCGTGTTCAGGCCTCACTGGGCAGATGGGCGGAGCAGGCTGAGCTGGCCAGCAGCAGCAACAGTGGCCAGCCCGCATCTGCTTCTCCTGCAGTGACCACAGCACCTGGCTGTGCACACAGCAGCCTGGAAAGGCCACAGCTGCCTGAGTCACTGTCCACACCCACAGACTTGCTCCAGACCTCTGGCTGCCCCTTCTGTGGCTGCACAGGGCTGCTCTCTGCTGAATCTCTAGGGGCACAGTGAGGCTCCAAGCTACCCTACAAAGAACCAATGTTTGCAGCCAGCAAGCACCCTGGGCCTGGGAGAGAGGCCATAAACCTGGCCAGCCAGAGGCACAGACGACCCCAGGCCAGCATCTACTTCTGCCGTGGCCACCAGGGAGTCCAGGGCCATCAGGGAGCTGGGGGACAGCACTCAGGTGCATGGACCTCCCTGGAACTCAGAGCTCTGGGGTCACCAGAGAAGGGAAGGTTTTCTGTGTGTGAGGACAAGAAGCTACAGGGTCCCTCCCGGCTCACTCCTGGGGTGGGAACTGCCGTGCTCCTGCCCTGCGACACTGCTGATTCTGGAGTTCTCCTCCCCCTTCGGACCCAAAGACACAGCTCCGCCCTGATCGCACTCCTCTGGGCGGCTTGCACTGGGAGTTACGGCTGCTTCAGTCCAGACCTGACCAGATGGGGCCTGTGGGTGCGAGGACACATGTACAGGTGTGTGGCAGTGAGAAGAGAATCCTGGGGTGATTCCAGCCCTGCTTCACATCACATCCAGAACCCCCTGGGATAGAGGCGCCTAGGACAGAAGTAGGAGGTGCAGCCCACACCCCGTGTCCTTCTCAGCCGTGCAGGTGCACAAGGAAGGAGGGAGCTGGCTACAGGTGAAATTTGCCGGCTCTGCTGGGAGACTGGCCACGGGAACAGCGACCACACCTCTGCCAGGCTACTCTGGGCTCGTGCTACTCCTAAGAGGTGAAATTTTCCCCAACTCCAGCCCCAAGACACAAGCCTCTCCTGTCGTGAGAAGCAAGAGGCCCCCCTGTCACAGATGGTACAGGAAGTGTGGTCTAGTGGGGGGTTCACAGGCCCTCCCTTCCTTTGCTCGAGACCCTTGGTGCTAATGGCATAGAGCTTGGCAGTGACGTAGTAAAAGCCAGAAGCCCAGGGGCTCACCATGACCTCAGGAGGTGAGAAGTGTTAAGCCAGCACCAGGCCCTGGGCCTCTCAGTCCACTGTAAAACCTGGGTTTGCAGAACCCTTGGTGCTCAGCGCTACTGAGAACTGCCTGGGGATGCCCCTACGCACCAGGTGTTGACCATGAGCAACTGCCACTTCACCACTTGGCAAAGCCAAGGTGCCTGGGTCAGGAGCAGACGCTGGATTCAGTACAGCAAAGATCCAGGCCTGGCTCGCAACAGCCACCTTTCCAGGCCTAGCACCCAGAGAGAAAAACCCTGGAATACGCTCGAAACCCTTCAGTCACAGCATCACAGCGTCTCTCATGACGTTAGGTCTCCCAGCAGTGGGACAGGAGAACCACGCACTGCCGTGCAAGCGAGGGGAGCCTGCAGCAGGAAGAAACACGACATGAACCCTTACTGTGCTACAGGGACACAGATGTATCAAGGAGGTGGCAGGGGGCCTGGAACCTGCATTCCGGTCCTGGCCTTGCACCTCCCAACTACAGGACCTGGACCGCAGTGCTAAATCCAGGAAGCTGCTTAAAGAAGCAATGACAAAACACCCATCCCCCGAAGGATGGTGGGGAGGACGGTGTTGGCAAGCATGGAGTGGACTGGAAGGTTGTGAGCTGGGGTGGACACTGGCACTGTCCAGCATCACAGGAAACACCCAGGGATTCAGGATCAGTCCACCCATCGTCTCCCCCAGCCTGAGATGAGGCGTGTCCTGACAGCTGTCACCCAGCTCACGGGGTCTCATGCATCAGGACTTTGTCCCAGGGACTTCAGGACTGCCAATCACTGCATGCTGTGGCTGCAGGAGGGAGTGGCTTGAGGAAGCCTGCTGCCCCTCCACAAAAGGGCGGGACCAGTCCAGAGCCATTCTGGGGTCAAGAACCCCTCCGTGGAGACTTGAGCCCACAGAGCAGGGGAGAGGTCACTGGGCTGGGCCCTGCTGCTTACAGAAACCCTTCCCAGTTGTAGCCCTGGAACTTCTCTAGGAATCCCCCAACATGCCCTGGGGGAGAAAAGAACCTGAGAGCAAATTCCGACCCCACCACCCAGAGGCTACACAGGATCAGGCTTCCTCGTCCACAGTGCAGGCATACTACTCCCTTCTTTGTGAAATCCTAGCCCAGTGTGCTGCACAGCGCTAGCCCAGAGCACAGACCACCAGACAAGACAAGTGCGAACAATCCCTCCACTTAAATGCTAGGAAAGAAGGGCCAGAGACCTTAAATAATGCCCTCAAGTCAAAGAGTTAGTACCTGCCGGGGCTGGGACTAGAACCCAAGTCTGTGTGATTCTATAATTCCATCCACGAATCTACCCATGAATCTACCCATGCAAATGAACAATGTTTGCAAATGGCCTTCTGTGTGCAGACACTGGACACAAAGTAAACAAGAGACACCGCCCCTGTCCCGGGGAGCTTACCTCTGGTAGAGGAGACAAACAACAGACCAGATGGTTTCCATGGTGGCAGGTGCCATGGAGGAGTAACTGGGTGGGGACAGATAGCACTGGTGGGGGGGGGACCAGAATGGCATGCCTCACTTAACCAGGTCAGTGAAAGTCTATCTAGAAACTTCTGAGAAATGAGGACACACCAGTCACCAAAGAGCCAGGGGCTCAAAAAGTGCAAAGGGAGGAGCAACCACAGTGGTACAATCCAGGAGCAGACGGCCGGCCAGCGAAGAGCCAGGGTGATGAGGCTGGACGTGCAGCTGGGCCAGACTGTGCAGGCAGGCCCTGGAGCTGTTAAGGCATTGGGGATGTTTTCTTCTAGGTTCACAGAGAGCTGCTGGTGGGTTTCAGACAGGAAGTGCAGTGTTGGGTTACATTCTTGAAAGGTCACAGTGGCCCAAGCCAGTGACCACAGCTATCTATGGCCCCTGCGCAGGTGGCACCCTCAGCACCCGGACCATGGCAGCCCTGGGCAAACAAATCACCTGCGGGCAGGGTTCCTTGGCTCTGTCTCTCCCAGGGCCCTGCCCCAGGTGCCAATCACAGCAGGTGCCCATGCCACATGCCTGATAGGCTGACACCTGGGAGAGTGACTGGAAGTTCCAGAGCCCCATCAGGGAAGTCAGGGTCCCGGACTGACACTCACGATCTTAGGTGGCGGGAGGTCCGGAAGGCTCTTCTGAGGGGCCGAGGCGTGCTGGCTGGGCTCCCCGTTGGTGAGTGGACCCTGCTCCGTGGGCGCTGTGGGCAGCAAGAGGAGAAAGCCTCCGTGAGGGACGGCCAGCCCCATGGCAGGGTAGGGTCATTACCTAGGAATGTCTGGTCACATGTTGCAGAGAGTTCTATGTGAGCAGGTGTTAATTACCCGGGCAGGCGGTTCCTGGAGCCAAAGTTGTTTTCCTCCAAGAATAGGACGCAGTAGCATTGCAGCCACAGACAGATTCCTTGGAAGGGACTGGCTCTGGATTTCTGGCAGGCTCCACCCCCTACCCCCCACCACGTGAAAAACAAGCCTGGCCGCAGAGCTCCAGCCCGCAGAGGAGCTGCCGTGGTCACTATATTGAGCCACTCTCGGCACTGACCCTGCAATTATAGCTTTTTCTTCCAACAGTTCCTTCCCTCAGAAGGCCAGCAGCCCGGGGCAGGGGGACACTCTGGTCTGGGGCTCTGTTGTGCCCTGGGCTTGGTGGTGGGACAGGAGGTGGCAAGGCCACACCGAGGAAGTGAGGCCGCCAAACCTCTGCACACTTGCGGAAGGGCACGAGGGCCCTTAGGAGATGTTTTAGCCGGCCTTGCTGGCCCCAGGGAGGCCTGGCTGTGTGTGCTGATGTCTCCAAGGGAAGCCCTTAACAGAAGCGAGCACTTGGGGGGCTGCGATCTTTCTCCAGCCTCCGGCCTGGGAGTCAGGAGATGGAGTTGCTCCTGCCCCCTCCTCTGCAATGAGGCGGCTCTGAAAGCCTCTGGGCCTGCCGGGTCCTGCCGGGTCCTGCCAGACCCATCCCGGAGGTGTGAGAAAGAAGCGCCGGCACCACTGAAGGCACCACCCGTCCCTGCCACGGGAGAGAGGACGCCGTGCCCAGCAGGCACCCTTGCCATCACCTTCAGACATCACTGCAGTCCCCGCGGCCACCCTATCCCCTCCCCTCCCTGCCCAGGCTCTGTCCAGGGCAGAAAGCCGGACCCCGGGGATCTGCAGCACACACAGCCTCCGCCTTCCTAGAACATGTGAATTAGGACTTCCTGTTCCTGGCATGATGCTGGGAAAAGCTAAGATTTTAGGGACAGATTTCTTCTCCAGTGGGCCAGGGGGTGGTGGCTTGCTGAAACATCCCAAAATACCTCAGCCCAAAATACCCTCCGACTAAAATGTGGCTCCCAAAAATAACTCCCGGGGGCCTGCCACGTGCTGGCTGGGCGGGTGGAGGAAGTGAGCCCCGATCCTGCCCCGTCCTGGGAACCGGCGCAGCCCCTACCTTGGTCTTGAGACTCGGCGTCCTGCGGCTTGTGCACTGTCACTTTGTTCATGTAAATGTACTCCTCATCAGAACCTGCGGGAGGAGGATGGCACACAGTGACGGGGAAGGGGAGGGGCTGGCAGAGAGCCAGCATCTGCCTGGCGACGCTGTCCTGAGCTCGGGTTCTGCTGAGCGCGCTCACGGAGTCTGTCGTACACTCGACGGATTTCCAAAACAGAAATAAGCGGATGACTCCTGGTTTCCCAGCCTTGGGTGGACAGGGGGCGTGGGGAGAAAGGTGGGGTGCAGAAGGGGAACTTCTGGGATAAGTTGAAAGGCACCCATTCCTCCTGGATTCACCCCGTGGATCCTAGCACCCTGGCATCCTAGCATTTCCTTTAGACGGTCGAATCTTTCCTATTTGTCATTCTCACTCTAGTCTGAATTACTTGCACAGGCTAATCAGAGTTGATGTTCAGATAAGACAGTCATTCCGAGGATCTGGAAGTTCAGCTCCCAGGCCCCCAGGTGGGGTGTCACTGGGGAAGTAGGAGGCAAAAGAGCCAAACCCTAAGAGCTTTGAGTATAAACAGGTGAGCATGCTGGGAATCAGAACGGGGAAGCCCGCAGCCACCTGCTGTGCCCTGGGGATTGCACCCTGCAGTGGCACCACCCACTCCTGTGCAAGTGAGGTCACCCTGCAGAGCTGGGGGCCAGAGGCAAGCTGGCCTCCCAACCCTTGCATGGTTTCCAATCCCCCAAGGAGACTTCTGTGGAAGCCTTGGGAGGAGGCTCACCCAGTTCCTCCTCTGCAAATCCCGCCTGTGTTTCTTTTGTAGCCCTTAATTTACATTTCCTAGAAACTTGTGGCTGATAAATTCCAGTGGTCGGAGACCGCGTCACTGAGCCAAGGGACCTGATTCAAGTCCTGGCGAAGGAAGCGGCTCAGTGTCAGCCTGTTCCGGAGCCAAAGGCCGCCAGACTCTGGCCAGCAGGCCAGCAGACTGGGAACCGGGAGGGACGGGGTGGCTGGTTGGGTCCCCATTAACTGGCTACGGGACTGCCACCTCAGTAACGTTACCCCTGGAACCAGGGCTGCCAGAGTTTAGGGAGAGAACAAGGAGGGACGAATGGATTTACCTACAACCTGCACACTCAGCCACAGAGGGAGCTGGGCAGTCCCTTCTCCCACGTGTGGCTCAGAGGAAAGTGCTCAGCAGGGGCAGGCTGAAGACAAGGCTCTGCCATCAACGACGTAACTGCAGGCATAACACGGAACCCTTGCACTCAGTGTTCTTGACCACGTGGTAGAGCGAAGAAGCACGCTGAAACGACCTGACTCGTAAGGTGTCAAGAACAGGGAACTCAAATATGAGCAGAGTTGAAAAAGTGAGATACTCTTGCCGCAAACAAAGATGGCAAATGACAGCCAGCAATACGGGAAGCTGCCCAAAGCCTTCACAGTAGGAAACTGGTCAAACCAACCATGGCCCGTGCACGTACACGGCTGGATGCCACCTTATGAGAAATAGATTTGGGGTGGGCAGATGGCCTAGTGGTTAAGACACCACTTGGGACCACTGGAGTGCCTGGGTTTGAGTCCTGGCTGTGCTTCCAATTCTAGTCTACCTTGGGAGGCAGCAGGCCGTGGCTCGAGTACTTGGGTTCCTGCCACCCATATGGAAGACCAGCCGTTAAAAGCATCTGGGGAGAGGGCCAGTGGATGGGGGCTCTCTGTCTTCCTGTCTCTCTGCCTCTGAAATAAATACGTAAAATTTAAAGAAATAAGCAGGTTACCAGCGAGTGTGTGAACCAGCAGAGCCATGTGGGAGATGATTTTGGGGGACAGGATACACGTTCATGTTCTTTGTCACAGTACTTCCACTGCCAGAACTGTACCCCACAGACACATCCCAGCACAGAAAGGAAAACTGTGAGGACGTTTACTGCAATAGAGTTTGAGCTTTTTTTTTTTTAAGAATACAACTTGAACGTCCATTAACAGGGAGGTGACTGAACAGGGGGGTTCACCCATCCATCAGTGGATATCACTCAACTGCGAAAAATAATAAGGCAGCTGTTCATAAAGATAGCTTGGACCTGGAGCCGAATTAAAAGATCAAGTTTCAGAACAGCAAAAAAAGGATAATGAAGAACAGAAAAGTATGTCAACTGTCAACAGGTGGAAATGTGTGCATGCAGCCATTCTTTTTTTTTTTTTATTTTCATTTTACTTGAAAGGTAGAAGGAGAATGAGAAATCCTCCATTCGCTGGTCCACTCTCCAAATGCCTGTATCCTCCAGGCGTGAGCCAGGCCAAAGCCAACAGCCTGGACTCCATCTCAGTCTCCCACCTCAGGGGCAGGGACTCAGTACTTTCTCTATCACCCGCTTCCTGCTGGGCTGCGCATTAGCTGGAAGCTGGATCCGAAGCCGAGGAGTGAGGACTCAAACCAAGCACCCTGCTGCCGGGATGTGGGCATCCCAAGTGATGACTCACACACCGTGCCGACCACTCACCCTCGTCCGCAGGTGCAGAGGCAAACCATCGCTACACAAACGTGCAGAGGCAAACCATCGCTACACAAACACGTCAGGACGACACTGCTAAGGGACAGAGGAACACGGTGGCCAGCGTTCATCTTCTTCACTCCTATTCCTATCGGCTCGCGCTCCTGTACTGAACAATCAAAGGCAGGGAGTCCGAGTAGGCGCTTTCTCCCCAAGACAGGGGTTTGAAAATTACAGAGAAAACTCACGCTGGCCACCTCTCGGGACCTCATCTACCTGCTTCGCCTCTGCAAGGTGCAGTTGACTTGGTTTTGATTCACAGCGGGTTGCTAACCCACGATTACCCCGTCTGGTTATCAGCGGCTACCAATACCTTCTGCAACTGTGGCCAAAGCACAGTAAACTTGACCCTAGAGAGGGAGGCTGCTGAGCCAGCCCCTGCCAGAGAGCACACCGAGCATCAGCACTGGGTCCAGCGGCCTTGTGGGGGAGGCAGACTGGAACCAGACGGTTACACAAGTGAGTGGGAGACAATGAGGGCCGAGCCTTGCTGGAGAGCAGAGCTCACGGTGCTCAGAGAGAAACGGCCCTTGCAGCAGGGAGAAGTCATTCCCAGAGGACTCAGGTGGGAGTGGGGAGGAAGCACATGGGTATTCTTGCTGTGGCTGGAGAGAAGAGAGATCTGAAGCATTTCCTGACAGAGAGGCAGCCCCTGAAATGTCCCCAGACTCTCAGGGCAGGAGGGAGAGCAGGCGACAGGGTCCTTGCTGGTGGAAGACCAACGGAGAGGCCTCACTTGACCTCACCATCCAGGCACAAAGCAAAAGAGTAGAAAAGTCACGTGCGGCCAAGAAAACAAAAGATCAGAAAAGCCAAATGGTCAACTCCACTGAGAAAATATCAATGCACACCTGACCCCCAACCCCCAGCCCACTCACTCGCCCACGCACTGCCCAAACCTGTGAGCCACAGCTCAGCCCATGTGGGCCACAGGCAGTTTGCAAATGAGAAGCCTGCCTTCCCCTGCAAGTCCCATCAGGCCGAGCTGTTTGTGGTTGATACACACAGCGGGGCAGGCCAGGGAGGCAGATGCACGCTTTCATTTCAGGGGTGCAGGTTGTGCAGGCACAACAAATCATCAGGTAGAGTACAGCATTGGGGGAGGGGACAGGAACCAGGGCCACCTGCTCAGGCCCGGGCCCTGGCTCACAGCCGTGTGCCCGTGGGCACATGACCCTCTAAGCCCCAGTTCCTTGGTCAGCAAGACTGGGAGGCAGGGATGATACCAACTCCCTCGAAGACAGGAAGAGGATGAAATTCCGAAACCTACGCCCCTGGGAACATCAGGCTTGGTGCTGGGACACAGTGAGCAGCAAAAATCAATGGGCTGCTGTGTTGCCCACTCTGCCTCTCCGGGGCAGTGAGGACCAGGGAGTGGCTGTCATGGGGTTCACGGTGGCCATCATCTCTGAGCGGGCCACTGGTGGCTGCAGGCCACAGCGTGCCAGATGTGTTTGTACGGGACTAGGGGCCAGTCTGGTGGTGTTTCTTGGGCACCCCTGTTCACTTCTCAGTATCCTCTCCCCACTAGCAAGCTGCAGAGACCAAGGGCGAGGAGGGCTGGTTTTTATAAGCGCAGATGGAGGGCAGGACAAAGGTCACCAACCGGAAACTACTGAGCACACTCAACCAAGAAGGGGGACTCGGTACGGAGGCACTGCCTGCGCGGTGAGCAGCACAAGCCACGGGCCAGACCCATCTCTAAGAGGTGTTTGCCAATCCTCAACAGAAGCGTTCTTTATAATTGAAGGCTCTCAAGTCGAAGCACATCTCCACGGTCTGAGGCGTGTTTTTCAAAGGATTCCGCTGATGACGCCTTTGGTGGAGTGAGTCACCTCTCTCCTAACCCCCCTCCCCTCTGTAATGTGGATTTCCCCTCTGCCCCGTTCCCACCAAGGGCTTCTTTGATGTGCGGCTGGCAGACGCTCCCTGCAAAGCCAGGAGCCTGGGAACTCCGGGCGGGCGTGGCCTAGAGAGCCAGCAGCCAGGCAGGAGGGGCTCTGATGGGAGCTGGACTGATTCTTCCAGAACTCACTCCAGCTTTGCAACCTCTCTGATCTCCAGAGAACAGAATCCTGTTCCCCTGGAGCAGAGCAGGGGACAGGCCTTGGAACAACGAGGTCTGGCAGCCTCTGGTTGGTTCACCCCAAGTGCAGGAGCAAGGAGAATCCTGGACTGGACGGCTACAGCAGGTGGACACTTCTTTTCCCTGGCAGGGACCTGGCTGCTCCCGCGGACGGGCAGGAGGATTAGATGCCCTCCTAGGGTGCTTTTCTGTTCCCAAACAGCACTTCCAGTTCCCAAAGATTAGACATAAAAACCAACTCATCTGTTAGACCCTCACAAGAAGGTTTTCCTAGGTTTTTTTTGTTGTTTTGACAGGCAGAGTGGACAGTGAGAGAGAGAGAGAGACAGAGAGAAAGGTCTTCCTTTGCCGTTGGTTCACCCCTCAATGGCCGCTGCGGCTGGCGCGCTACGGCCAGCGCACCACGCTTATCTGAAGCCAGGAGCCAGGTGCTTCTCCTGGTCTCCCATGGGGTGCAGGGCCCAAGGACCTGGGTCATCCTCCACTGCATTCCCGGGCCACAGCAGAGAGCTGGACTGGAAGAGGAGCAACTGGGACAGAATCCGGTGCCCCAACCGGGACTAGAACCCAGTGTGCCAGCGCCGCAGGTGGAGGATTAGCCTATTGAGCCGCGACGCTGGCCTTTTTTTTTTATCTGAATTTGCTAGAAACCCTATGTCCACAAGAAGACTTACGATGAAAATGTGCACAGCGGTCTTATTCATTAGGGCCCAAATATGTGAACACCCTACGTGCACCAGCAAGTGAACGGATAGACAGGAGCCTCAGCCGTCAGAACCACGCACCAAGCTCCCAGGCAAAAGCAGCCAGACTCGGAGCACACACACAGGCCTGACTCCACATCTACGGTGCTCCAGGACAGTGGCCGAAATTGGAACAGTTGCCTTGGGACAGGGGTGAGAAGAGAATTCACTGGGAAGGGGATAGAACTTTCTGGAAGCTAGAAATTGTATGTTCTGGAAGGTAAACACGTGCGTGTATACCATCATCAAAACTCACTGAATTGAGTCTTTAGCATCCACGCACTTTATTATATGTTGACTCTGCCACAATAAAGAAGAGAAAAAGTGTGAACTCAGGGTCCTGTGATTTCTCAAGTCCTATAATTATGCTCTCCTGCCTTCCCTTGGGTTGGACAATACTGGGCAAGTTATTTAAAGTCTCCAGGCCTCAGTGTCTTCCTCTGGAACAACAGCACCAAGCTAGTGGGCGTGTCTCGAAGTGAGACAAGTCAGCACATGTGTACCCAGGAAGCGCCAGCCAACGTGACGACCGTGACTTATCCCTTCCCTACTTTCAACCACTGTGAGGGCGCCAGAAAAGACGGCCACCAGCAAGCCCAGAGGGACCAGCCCTGCCGACTCCTGGATCCAGAACGTCCCACTTGCACAAGTGCGGGACAACCAGTGTCTGTCGCCTGAGCCACCAGTGAGTGGCTCTCAGCGACTCAGCCGCAGGTGACACGCACAGCCTCCCTCCCTCGGCCCCGGGGCCCGCACTCACTGCTGCTCTTCGTGTAGAGCCGGAGGAGCTCGGCCAGGCAGCTCTTCCTCACCAGGGCTGTGCTGCTCAGGTTCTCCTGGTCCAGAATCTTCAGGAAGTCGTCCAGCTCCGTCAGCAGTTGCTCCAGGGCTACAGGCAGGAGACAGAAACCTTTACAGTGGCTGCCTTCTCCGCAGAGGCCCAGGCCACCTCCACCTCCGGACCTGCAGCCTCCCAAGGGCAAGGTCCTGTCTAAGGCCACAAGACGGCCTCCCGAGTGCCAGCGGCACAGGGAGAGAGGAACAGGCCCCGAGCCCCGAAATGCACAACCTCAGCTACAGCTGCAGGCCTGCCTTTGCCGGAGGGGAGAGTTTGGCCAGGGCAGCCGCACCTCCCATTGCTGATGTCTGTCCTCCCTGGGCTCTTGGCTCCAAAGTGCCTTGCGGGCTGCTGAGCCCTGCTCCTGGGCTGTGGTTAGGATCAGCCGAGTCCCACCTGGTTTCTCTCTGGGAGACTCTGGGACGCACTTAACCTTCTTGGGTTCTTTGGGCCACACACTTTGCAAAGCTGCTTCCATCGTGAGTCTGTGATTCCGAGCCCAGTCACGGTTTGTTCCTATGGCTTCTAAAGCATGAATGTGTTCATGGGACGCCCAGGGTTAAACACCGCCCCTGGCTCCCCAGACACACCCCTCCTGGCTGCCAAAGCCCTTGAAAAAAACTTCGTCCCCTGCAGCAGCCACACAGATCATTCTCTGCACCAGCCCCACAAACCTCTCCTCCGGCCTTCACACACCTGCGCCTTCTCCGTGCCGAATCCACGCATCCCTCAGGCCCCAGCCTGCACAGCCAGGCCTCCTCTATCAGATATTCCCTTGTGGCCAGCACTGGCCCCTGCGGTAGACTAAACAGTGGCCCCCGAGACACGTCCATGTTCTAATTCCCCAAACTTGTAACAGTGCACTTTCCATGGCAAAAGGGGGCTTCACAGGTGGGATTAAATTAAAAAGGATTATCCTGGATGAGTCCCTGAGCCCAGCGCAAAGAGCCCTCCTAGAGGGAGACCAAAGGCTGAGAGTCACAGACAGGAGAGAAGCTGCCATGAGGTCTCTGTGCACGGAGGAGGGAATCGGTAGCCAGGGCATCCACAGGCGACCCCTAGGAGCTGGAAGAGGCAAGGGTGAGATTCGCCCTCGGAGCCTCCAGGTGGGCCCCCCGTTAGAGTCTGATCTCCAGAACTGTAAATGAGGGAGCCTATGCTGTCTGACGTCATCGCGTTTGATAATTTGTGACAGCAATAAGAAATTGACAGCCCCTCCCCCAGCTCTGACGGTGCCCCACTGAAGCTGCCTGTGCCACTATGTAGCCACAGTTCCAAGGATAGGCTCTGCGTCTACTCACACTTCCAGGGCCAGCAAATGTCCAATAAATAGTTACTGGCTAACAGAATGAATGAAAGCAAACCAAATACACCCACTTACGTTGTGCACAAAGCACTTGATGGCCAGCCCATGAGAAAGAAAATCAGTAACTGGCCTGGGTCAGGGCTGAAGAGGAAATCCAGGTATCTGGCGGGTGCTGTCTCGCCAGAACATAGAACAGATGGGCCCTTTGGAAAGGCTCTCCCAAGGTGGCACTGTGGCACCAGGGCTGCTCCACTTCCGATCCAGCTCCCTGCTAATGCACCTGGGAAAGCAGCGGATGATGGCTCAAATGCTTAGGCCCCTGCACCCACATGGGAGACCCAGATAGAGTTCTGGGCTCCTGGCTCCAGCCTAGCCCAGTTCCGGCCAGTGCAGCCATTTGGAGAGTGAACCAGTGGATGGAAATCTCAGTCTCTTCCTCTTTGTCACTCTGCCTTCCTACAAATAAAAAAGAAATATTGAAAAAGAAAAGGACCTCTCCCCACTTTTCAAGTTTACACGTTCTGGAAACAACACTGAGGATGCAAACCATTCTTCCCCAGATGAAGCCAGCTCTTAAAAGTTTACAATGTAGGCCGGTGCCACGGCTCAATAGGCTAATCCTCTGCCTAGTGGCGCCGGCACACCGGGTTCTAGTCCCAGTCGGGGTGCTGGATTCTGTCCCTGTTGCCCCTCTTCCAGGCCAGCTCTCTGCTGTGGCCCGGGAGTGCAGTGGAGGATGGCCAAAGTTCTTGGGCCCTGCACCCCATGGGAGACCAGGATAAGTACCTGGCTCCTGCCTTCAGATCAGCGCGGTGCGCCAGCCGCGGCGGCCATTGGAGGGTGAACCAACGGCAAAGGAAGACCTTTCTCTCTGTCTCTCTCTCTCACTGTCCACTCTGCCTGTCAAAAAAAAAAGTTTACAATGTAGATAGGCTCTGCTGTCCTCAAACTTGGACCCCAGCGGCTTGTCTACCCTCTGGAGTCCTGATGGCTCCTATGTTTCTTGTGACTTCTCTGTGTCAGTCTGCATGGGCCACCATTACCACGGTCATATCAATGGCCAGGGAGACAGACACTTTGCTGGACACCTGTACCCCTCTGCTCATTGCCCTCCCTTGTGCCCCTGACATGGCCGGCCACTCCATCTCATGGGGCAAATTCACGAGTGACCAGAGCGGAGGGAAGCAGAGGGCACTGGGCATGCCGGTGCACAGAGCAGAGACAGAAGTCTTCCCAGTGGTGTAATGCTTGCCCCAAGAGGGGCCACAGGGACCACATGGCCACCTGACCCAGCAGAGCTCTGCAGCTGGGACCTCAGCCTGAGCCCATGCCCTGCTAAGACCAGACAGGCTCCCTGGGGCCAAGGCCACTCTACCAAGAAGGGAGACACAGACCAAACGCCTCTTTCTGCATAAGTGCCAACACTCATCGTGTGCTGTTAGGCCTGGATGGCAGAGCGGCACCAAAGCAGAACTGGAGACAGGACAGAGAGGGGGGAACCTGATTAAGAGAGATGACAGCAGAGAGAAAGAAGGTCAGGAGGTAATGGTAGAGCCAGAAATGTGCCAGGGGATTCCAAATCAATCCCATTAAGGTGGCATGTACCAATGCCATCTCACTAGTCAAAGTGATCACTTTAAGTTAATAATTGATCATAAAGATAGGATTAAGTATCAAAGGGATCACATAAACAAGACTAGTGTCTGCTAATAATAACTGATAGAATTAAAAAGGAGAGAACCATCCAACATGGGAAGTGGGATACACAGCAGACTCATAGAATGGCAGATGTCCTAAACAGCACTCTGGCCTCAGAATCAGCCTGTAAGGCATTAGGATCTGGCTAAAAAGCCCATGAGAGTTTCTCAGGCATGGAAAGCCAAGACACTGTGGCAAAAAAAAATGACCTAAATGAAAGATCTCTGTGAGTGAGATCCCAGCGGAAAGAAGGGGCCATCAAAGAAGGAGGTAACTTTCTCTGAAGGGAGAAGAGAACTTCCACTTTGATTATGGCCTTGTTTAGATAAGGTCAGAGTTTGCGAATTCAAGAGACTTCCCTAGCCTTGGCAGCTCATGACAAGAGCCTTGGGTGATTACTGACGTCATAAGTAAGAGTGTGAATTGTTAAATCAACAACTGGAGTCACTGTGCTCTTACTCCCCATGTAGGACCTCTGTCCTTAATGTGTTGTACTGAGAATTAAGTACTTTATACTTTGTGTGCCTGTGTGGGTGCAAACTGTTGAGATCTTTACTTACTATATACCAAGTTGATGTTCTGTATAGAAAGATCATTGAAAATGAATCTTGATGAAGAATGGGATGGGAGAGGGAATAGAAGATGGGATGGTTGCAGGTGGGAGGGAGGTTATGGGGGGAAAAGCTGCTATAATCCAAAAGTTGTACTTTTGAATTTATATTTATTAAATAAAAGTTTAAAAAAAGAGAGAGAGAGAAAAAAAAAAGAAAGGCCAGGAGGGCCAGGACTCCAGCCCTGCCAGTCTGCAGGCAAACAATTCCTGCTCCTGAGGCAGCAAGCAAGTGGCCGCAATCCACGGATGCCTGCCCAGAGGAGGATGTAAAAGAAAGAGGCAGACGTGGTCCCCAGGCTGAGAGGCCTTGGGCTGAATTTTGTTTGGTCTTAACAGTGACTCACGAGTTTCCTGTCGGCTGCAGGAAAGAGGCTAAAAGGCAGTGAGTTTAAAGTGGTGAACCAGGAGAACACAGGAGAAACAGGAGAAAAACCACACAGGGCCTTGAACCGGGCCTAGGTGGGCAAGGGAAGAAGGGCCTCATAGGCAGGGCAGCGGGGGTCTCTGCTGCATCCTCCCTGACCTCCTGCTGACCCAGGGAACCAACAGCAGCAACAAGAAGAGCAGGAAAACTGAAAGTGCCTCTCACATCCTTAGCGATTCCCAAAAGCTGCCCGATTCCTGGAAAACAGCCTTGGTTTTGTTTCACGTGAGCAAAACTGTACCAGGCCAAAGGGTAGAAGGCATGTGCCTGGTTCTGGGGAGACAAAGGTGACCCAAGAGGTGTCCTCTGCTGTCCCTGGGGTCCAGTGACCACACAGGCTGAGAACAGAAGGAGCTCCAGGAGGTCTCCAAGACCCCAGGGCACCAAGCAAAGGTGGGGGGCACACTCGGCGGTCATCAGGGAGGGGAACTGGTGAGTTGGTCATTGAGGATGCACAGGAGCTCACCAGGAAATGGGGGGGTGGCATTTTAGGAGGGAGGGAGGAGATGTTCAGAAGGCACAGGTGGCACACATGAGAGACCATGGGTGGCTGTGGATCAGGGGACCTGGTGCATGGGGTGGGGTGGCTCTGATGCTGGAACTGCAGAACTGGGTGAAGCAGGTCTCTAGGGGTTTCTTGGCTTTGCTCAGGAGCTACTGTCACATCCTGCAAGGCCTCCGGGTGATGCAGTGGCCACAACCATGCAAGGCTGCCCTTTGAACAAGCTACAGGGAGAGAAGGGGAGGTGGCAGGAGCCTGATGGATGCCCGCATTAGCACAGATGAGAATGCTGAGGGTGTGACCTAATCGCAGTGCCTGGGGGTCATCCCATCAGCTAGCAAGGCCCCCACATCTCCAGCTCTCATAACCACCCTGCACGTGAGCACACAGCTGTGGGAACAGGTGCCTGATGCCGAATTACAACCAAACGCAGCTCCGTCCCCAGTGTGCAGGGACAGTGGAGATTAAACCCAAGCATGTCCAAGTTCAAAGGACTTGCCTCCTGCCA